TCAGGAAAGCCCCCATATCAACATAAACTGCCCTCTGGAACCTTCATGCTCTGCGCCTGAGTCGGAACCTTGGGTTTTTAAGGTGTCAAAGCTGAGTTTGGATAGTCGAGGCTGTTTGTAGTTCTTCCTAGCCCAGGATCCCGATCAGCATGGGTGTTAAAAATCATTTCCGGAAGAGCCGGCCTGCAGAAAAATTAATACTTGTCCTGAGCTTGGAAATCAACAATTCCAGAACTACCTCTGCCCGGGTTGTGACCCTAACCGCACGATGCGACATGCTGGTGTACCCAGGGCCTGGAGCTGCGGACTCAGGCAGGGGAGCCTGCATTGGGCCGCCCGACAACGGTGCTATACTTTTCAAATTTAGGAGGACCTGCTGCCTGGTCTGGGGGAAGAAGGAGCCTCTAGATCCGAGCCCAGTCTAGCATTCTAGCTACGGTGATTTTAGGTGTTGCCCGCATTTCTTGTTCTCAGAGTTCGTTTTATGGACATTTGTCCTTCCACTGGGGAGGAAGCGGGTAACATTATAGTAAACATTAGGGGCCAAGTTAATAAGAAAATATTTCCACTGATATTGTAATGAAATTTAAACACGAAAAACACCCTTCAGATTCTGCCAAAGGGGTGAGAAGGCTTTGTCTATTTCGTGTTATCCACAGTGGATGGATGCCTCTCAAACTTTTGGAGCTTCAAGGAGAAAGATGTCCACATTTCCAGTTGATTAATAGACTTAATATAATCTCGATTTCGCCCCCAAATTTCCATTTATTGGCCTAAACAGGAACAGACCGTGTTATAAACAACTTAATTGCTTGCTTAAATATGTGATTCTACGCATGTCACATATTTTCTTAATTGGAAAAATATGGCAGCACACCAGTTACTGCAGGCACCGAGTGCCAAATTAATTTTATTGTTGAATTCTTTTGAATTGGTACAGGACGCTCCACCATTTAGATAAAGCCATTTCCTAACACTTTGTTGGCACGGAAGGATTCCCTCCCCCCCCCCCCCCCCCCACGAAACCAGAGATGATTCGAAACAGTAATGCAATTGTGTAAATACCGAAAAACCAATCCCCAAAAAAGGGAGCCTAAAGCGTCTCCCGAGAGAAACAGCCTAGCCTGGACCTTAGCCTGCGTCGGCCTCGTTCAATCGTAACAGCTCAAAGAGAATGGGAAGTTTTGACCTCCAGGATCCGAGGATCCAGGATCTTCGTGGAGTTCGAGTGGATCTTAGCCGTGGCCCGAAACCCGGGGGTGACCCCAGGGTGAAATCTCCCTCCCTCCCTCTCTCTCTCTCTCTCTCTTTCCTCTCTTTTTCTTTCTTTCTCAGGCCTAGGAAAGGGGCTCCTGCAAACTCGGCGCTAGATGCTAACCAGAATCCTGCCGCCTGGCCCAGCTGCTGTCAGCACCCCTGCGGCAGCCGGGCCCACCGAACTTCCCCATCCGCCCGCGGGCCGTCTGGGTTGCGGGCCCATCCTCTGGCTGGTGAAATGCGCTTCAGTGGAATGGGAATAGCGAGAGCATCCGAGAAGGGCGCGCGCAAACCCCACGCCCCCCCTCTTCACACACACTCGGACCCCACCCACGACCGTGCACACCACCGGACTCCCACCCCTCCATCATCACTCTAGCTTCCAAAGCTGGGGTCCAAGGGCCCGCTCCGCGTCCCGCCCCTCTCCCCGCTGGGCCTCGGGGTCCTCTCCCGCCCGAGAGGAGTCAGGAAGGCGGGAAGGGGAACCGCGGCTGGGGGGTTAGGCCGTTACCCTCGGTGAGCCGCGGGCTGCCCGGCTCCCTGCTTCTCTCAGCGGCGCCCATGTCCAGCTCCCGGACGGGAGAGCGCCCTCCTCCAGCTCCTCCGCCTGCTCCTCCTCCTCCTCCTCCTGCACCTCCTCCGCCTCCTCCGCCTCCTCCGCCTCCGCCTCCTCCTCCGCCGCCGCCTCCGCCGGCCGCCCGGACTGCCGGGCTGCTGCGGTCGTCGCGGCCGGGATCGGTGCAGCCCGTCGGCTCCTTGGTCCCGCGCAGCGGCCCGCTCTCCAGCACCTCCCGGTACGTGATCGCCTCCTTCTTCTCCTTCACTTTCTGGTCAAAAGACTTAGAGACGAACGCCGTAAGTTCTTCCATCGCCGCCGATGCCGGTCAGCTCCGCGCTCAACCTCTCCCAGCCGAGCCCCGCTCTTTTTTTCCTTCTTCTTTTTTTACTGCCCCAGCCCCCCCAATAATAACACATCAATGGGGCAGGGGGTGGGGGAGGAGCTGGAGGAGGAGGAAGAAAAAGAAGAAGAAGAAGAAGAAAAAGAAGAGAAGAAAGAAGAAAGAGGAGAAGTAGGAGAAAAAGAAGTAAGAAGAGGAGGAGGAGGAGGAGGAGGAGGAGGAGGAGGAAGAGGGAAGGGGCGGGGGCCGCCGGAGGGAAATGGGAACTGATGCTTCCCTGCCGGAGCGCGCTTGTTCAATGTTAAGATCTTTGACAATTCTTCCTGCGGAGAGTTCAGATCTGATAGCAATGCTGCGCTTGAAGTCTCACTATTTATACTTCGCAAAGGCGGCCCCTTGTTCTGAGTAAATTACCTCCCCTTCGCAACTCGGAGGGAGCCCCTTCCTGGGGAAGCACCCGCACCACTACCTGGGGGTGGGAGACTGGGGGTTAGGAGGGAGGGAGAAAGAGGGAGAGATGGGGGGGGGAGAGAGAGAGAGAGAGAGAGAGAGAGAGAGAGAGAGAGAGAGAGATTGAGATTGATTGAGGCTGGAGTCCAGGCAGGCTGGAGCTGGAGTGGGAGGGCAGTGAAGGGGACGGGAGGGGGCGGGAAGAGGAGGCCGGTCCCAGGCCGTCCGGGTTTTCAGATGGCCTCGGCCGCCTGTGCTCTTGGCCATTAATCCAGGGTTGACGAGAATCCCTAATTAATTTAATTAGGCGTGGATTTTGCGTTGGTGTCACGATTCAGTTAAACACTGGGGAGCTGGACCTACTCCGCCGGGGCGTGGCCAAGAGGAAACTGACAAGTGCGCGGCTGCTGGAGTCAGTCGGGTACCCGGACTCCGCAACGGACCCTACAACCTCTCACCGCATCAGGGTGCAGCGCAACTGCTCCGCCCCGCTTTGCAGCCGGGCTTCCTTGACCAGCGTTAGGCGCCGGGCACCCCAGTTCCGTATCCTGACTCTGTGTCCCAATCCTACACCCCCGCTCCTCACCCACCCTCCCACCCACGCAGTCCGGCAACCTGCGTTCACAAGCTTGCTCAGAGTCAGGGTCGTCTACTGCGTCCCAGACCCGCGCGGCTCCCTATAGGGGCTTCCCGGCCTGCAGCGAGAGCTGAGCCTGGATCTTTACTAAGCTTCCTGCCCCGGGGAGTTTGTGATTCACCCCACTACTCGCATCTTAGAGCCCTAGCCGACACCTCTACGGACAAACCCAACTCGGGCCAGCCTATTTAACACGTTTCCTGAGCAGCTGTTCCCTGACAGATTTCATTTTAAAGTGTTTCCTTAGCGCCTAGTCAAGGACAGTTTGACTTCGTTCTCTCTTTGGGGTCTCAGGATCCTGACCCCTTCTCCCTTACAACTCCCTGCAGCCGGACCCTTCCCACAATGAACTACAGGAGTTCTTCTTTAGCATCCCCAGAAACATTAAAAATCAACAGTAATTTCCTAATTTTGAAAAGCAAATGATTGTCCCTCTTGGAGTTCGAAAAAAAAAAAAAATCACGTTGCTTA